CATCATACATTAGATGTGAATAAGTCAAGATGGATGTGGAAATTGGTTGAAACCAAGATGCCCTCCTGAGGTCTTTATCTCCCATGGCCTTGGGCTGGTCCCATGCTGGTCGACATTAAACAACCAGAACTCCAGGAGAAAAGAATAACAAACCCTGATCTGTAACACTTCTGTAACCCCGTTTTCGGAGTGTAGAAATTCTCCCACCACAACCAATTTCCAACTAATTCATGTTAAGCGATGTCAACCAGCCTGCAAAATTTCTGAAAACTCCTCTGCTCATGCCAGCACTGCTCTTGCTGGCCAGCGAATGGCCAAACACCCTTACACTTTGTGAGTAAAGCTATTTCCCCAAGGGATGCCTCCATGACAGCAGAGAGGTAGGAGTCGATGGCTGCCCCTGGCGGGGTAATTCTGAAGGTGACAGGATGGCTGGCATCAGAAAGGCATCTTGTTCAAACCACCCTATTTTCAGAGGATGCCTGGGTCACAACGGCCAAGTGATTAAATCATTCCTTCTTTTTAAAAAACCACGGACAGGCCCTTAACAGTCAATGCTCCTTCAGAAAATGTCAACTGCGGTCTCGTTTTCTGTGTGTCCTTCCTTTCTCAGCACTGATGTAGCAGCCTGTTTGGAGCAGTAGAGAGCACATTTAACAAACAGAGAGAGAAAATGGGTTTCAAAGGCCAGGCTCAACAAAAAGACAGGTAATTTAAAATACTTTGCTCTAATCTAACAGTGCAAATATCATCTAGAACTTAGTGAAACAGTATTGCTGTGAAAACCATCTACCATAAAATCAGGTTGGAGGACACTCTCAGATACTCTCTGGTCATCTGTGTACTGTTTCTGCTTTGGAAATAGGCCAATCCAGATTCACACTGTGTGGTACAGTAGGGAAAAGGTCACAGTAGTCAAAATCCACCTTTATCACTTAGTAGCAATGTGACCTTGGGCTAGCTATCTAAATTCTCTGAACCTGTTTCCTCATCTAATAGAAGAAATAGAAACTATCTTGTATGGTGTGAGCATTAAATGAGATAACATATGCAAAGCTTACAAAGTCCTCCATGAAATGGTGATAATATCCACCAAACAAGTCTGTGGACATTAATGGACAACAACATGTCCAGTCTTTATTTAGCAAGCGCCTACACTAAGGAGACCCTCAATAAAGGGTTTTATCAATTCTGTGGGGAAGGAAAATCAAGTTGTCTCCACCCATTTTAGTTTGGTATGTAGTCAGTCTGAGGTCTAGAAATAAGACACACTAAGGTAGTAAAGCATAATTACACAGTTCTGTGAGAAACCTGGTACATAGTGTTGACGAATAAGAGTCAGGAACCACTGTGGGAATTTCATTTAGTTCCTCTCTTTCTTATTTCCCCTAATGCAAAGCATTTGAGGAACTGATTTGTATTAGGTCAAATGCCACATTTTATTTTGTAAAACACAATGGTGAATATGATGCAGCCCTGTGCTTTGGAAAAAATGAAGTGGGGAACTATAGTCTTCACAGTAAAGAAAGTTGGAGAACTAAAATGCACTTGACATACTAGATGTGTTCGGCTGATGTCAACTCATCTAAAATGACTTGAAGGGATCTTCAGGTTTTCAAGGCATCCGAATCCAATACATTTATTGACTTAAGACACATAGCACTTAGAACCTGATCTAATCAATCCCCACCAACCACCACCTAGCTACTATTGGGGCAAAGGGACAACATACATTACTAGAAAAGAAGCCATTCGACTCCAGAAATAAAAGTTGCTAGGGGAGTCAGAATAGAAAGTGGGGAGAAGATATTCTGATTAATCACCTAACCCTATAAAGAACTATTCTTTTATTTCTCATAGTTTATGAGTCATCTGCCTCACTCCCAAAGGGTCAAAGAGCACTTTTTTTATAGTTGTGCAGCTCCTTTCTCACATGGACAGGCTTTTAGGGAATCCTTTCCTCTCTAGGGATGCCCTCTTGCAAATAAATAGAAATTAGAAAACTACTTCTGAAAGGACCACAGATATTGTCATTCTATTCAAGGGACCCTGAGATTCAAAGGACTGCACCTCCCATCAGGGGAACACCTCCCATCCCATTCTCTCTCCTAGCTGAAGGGATGCAAAATCTGACCTGGTCAGTGCTGTGCTTCCTTGACACCTTTTGTCATAATGTGTAAGTGCATCACCTATGGGACAGAGTAACACTGTGGGGTGGTGGAAAAATGAACAAGAGGGAAAGCTCATTTTCTTCCTCACTCCTCAGAGGTTTGATCTGGGAGGGAAACCGGTACCTTTCCAGCCAGGTAAAGTAATAGGCATTAGGCTCATGCTTCTTCTCTCTGTCTGGAAATATGCCACTTCCCTCCTAACTCTGCTCTTTGCTTCTGGTTCTTATCCTCATTCACTCTGCCACCTGCTGCCAGTGATCTTGATAAAGTGAAAACTGAACCCAAGTCTCCTTACAGCACCTAGTGGTGAAGTCAAATTCCTTATATGGAAAGTCTGTCTTCACCTGTCTCCATCCTGTTCCTCATCTTTGACTACATGCCTATGGGCACATTATTTTTTGCCAAATTGAGCTTCTTGTAGGTCCCTAAACTGGCCAAGCTCTGGAATGTGCTCCCCTCTCCCATCCACCTAATAACACATGTTGTCCTTCGGGCTAAGTTTCACCTCCACCTGAGAAAATCTCTGAGCACCACCCATAACTACCGTCACCTCACACAGCCCAACAGTCCTCCTCCACATCCTCAAGGTGTGCTCCAGATCCATTCTGGCACAGCCGTTTACACTCTATGCTGTGATTGCTGGCTGATCGCCTTCTGATTTATTTAGAGTCAGAGACTGTATTCCAGCTGTAACTCCAATACGTAGCTGAGTGCCTGTTACATGGAAGTAGCTGAGTTCCTATTAAATTCAACAACACAATCAAGCAAGCTGTTGACCTGTCTAGACTCATGATTTCACTTTTTAGATCTCTTCATTGTATTTCTTTCTGAATACCAGTTGCCTCCACATTTCATACTATCTCACTCCTCCATCATGTGTTCTTCACCACACTTACACTCAGTGGTGATTGGTACTATCTGTGCCCACAGGTTGCTGCTCACGAAGCCAGCCTAAGTATTGTTCCATATGCCAATGTCAGGAAAACAAAAAGTAAAAGTATTTTCATCATGAAGGCCTTTTGCCATAAAATGGGGAAAGAGTAAGATGGCCCAAAATAATTACAAAGAAAAGTAGCTCCTGCCACAAACAAAGAGACTGTCAAGTCATTGCAAGTCGTTCCAAACTCTCGTTGGAAGAGAGTTTGGGTCAGTGGAGTAATAACACAAAAACCATCCAAATGACCAGACTGCTTCTACAAATGGGAAAGTGAAGAAACTCTAAACTATTATCCCCTCAAATCTGTATCTGCACAATTTACAATGGGTGTAGAAATCAATCAGTTCTTTGTACAATTCCCACACATCATTTTCCTTTGAGTGGAAACTTGAAGACCATTTTTCTGCATATGGAGTTCCTATATAAGAAGACCTTTGCTAGGTTCTGGGGATTCAAAATCCACATAGCACTTGCCACGAAGTGGTAACCTACAAGCAGATACAGTTGTCTAGTTGTATCTAGTAGATCTGTTCATGAGGAGATAGGACAACTTTGGACTGCCTCTTAGTGTAGATCGGATCCTGCCCCCATTTCCCTCCCCTGCATTTCCACAGTGCCGTGTAGACCTATTTTGACAATTAAACAGAATGTCTTATCACAACAGCCTTCAGTATCACTGAAAGGGCCCTAGATACTTGGAAAATGAAAGCTATCCCATAGCTACCTTGGACTTCAAAATACTAATCCAGTAGGTTCTTTTCATTAATTTTATTACATATTGGCATATATGTAAATCTGCTAAAAGGGGATAAAGGGAAAAGAGTTATTAAAATGGCTAGAGAAAGGCCTTATTAGTGATGTGCACCCAAGAGATGGACACTTGTACTGGCTACCTGCAAGACATATAACCAGTCTCCGAGAAGTAAATGATCTTTCGTGTGAAAAGTAATCTTTAAAGCTATCTTTGTCTTAATCACGTCCCACAGTTTTTGCTGATTGCAAACGGTGCAGAGACCATCTGAAGCCCAGTCCTCTGCATAGCTATCAGCCGAAAGATACCTGAAAAGCCTGTGCCTGGCTCGTTATTCTGAGTCAGAGCAGCCTGACACAACAGGACCAGCGAACCATCCTGAGTTGGGAAGGTGCCCCTTTTTGCAATAGAAGAGGCAGCTTCTGCCGTCGATTCACTTGAGATCTCCCGTGAAGGCATTTTAAAGGGTATTTGGGATTAAACCGACAGACTCTCTTCTTCCCCAAGGATGCATTTTTCTTTGGATTACAAAACAGGAAATTAAAGTGCTCAACCAAAATCCCCAACAGGAAATATAAATCTTTAGAACACTTTAATGATATTAATGTCACCCAAATGCCTAACAATACTCTCTTCAAATAAGTTCAGAGAAAATGACATTCTCTTGCCCAAGCATTCAAAAATCCTGCTCTGAGAGATGACCTCCCTGACCCAGACAATAATAAATTAAGAACTCAAGTGGCCTTTTTTCCCTTTCCTTTTTACAAGTGCTACCTTCTACCTGTAGTGAATACATTGAAAATAGACAACCCCTCCATGGTAACCACTGGGAGAGGCGTTCGACCATTTCCAGAACTAGATTAATGTGTTTTGTGGGCAGTCACTGTATGGGATGCTGTCAAACCTCTTTAAGGTTCCCCCCAGACAGAGTCACGTTCCTATCTTGCCTTTGTTGTCATTCTTTATGCATGGATCTGGGTTTTCTGCCACTCTTTCTGAAGAACACAGAGTTCAGCCCCCTCCCACAACCGCTGCTGTCCAAGAAGTATGACAGCTTGAAGACCTCTAAAGAAAAGATACCAAGGGTTACACAGGGCACCTTTCAATCCAAAAGGATAATGGGAACAAGAACCTTCTCTACCTTGCAGGTCAGCTTTGGTCAACGCAACTTTGTTAGCAAAAGAACAGAAAAGGTGGAAACAATAACCAGAGGTTAGTAAGAGGTAGAGTAAACCAGGGCAACATTACAGAAATGAAAATACAATCAGCATAACCAACATCACTCAAACAGACAATTGAAATGCTCTACAGGTTCTCCAGAGACAGCACAGACGGGGGATGCACAGACCAGGGCGGAGCAGGCTTTGTCAGAGCCACGTGAGCAGAGCAGGGACGGGGGACACTAGACTTGACAAAGCACAAGCAGTGGTCACAAGAGCCTTCCCCCATACACACAGCCAACCCCCAGGCATATGGTCCAGAGAAATGATTCTCTACCAGTCAGGATAAACATCAAGGAATAAGGGTAGTGCATGGTTAGACTGAAAGACACATGTGCACAACCAGAGGCCACAAAAATAATTCTGCACATGTAGGAGTTAAGCATGGAAGAGTCACTTGGGAGCAGTCCACGTAACCTCCTAAAAGTGCCACCAAGGAATATAGCACTACAATTGGGCATTTGTATCAAGGGCATTGGGCAAGGTGATTTGGGGCTATCAAACAGCTCGATTTGTTTAATTTATAAAAATACAGCTAAATCCAAATGGCTGTGGGCAAAAAAGACACCAAAGCGATGTCCTTTTACTTCATTTGTGCTGATCTCAAAATGAAGAATTGTGCTTCTGTCAGGTGTTTGCCATCTGCGATTGTGGAATTGCATTTCTAGCCAATAAATGCCTCTGCAGCAACGCTGGCCACCAGAGAGAAAGATATTTACCAGCTGAGTATTGAAGCAGGCATTATTATAAAATTCTGATTTTTTGAATCTGTACTAAAAGTCTTAGCCCAGATTAAGAGGTTGTGAGTCACTGTTAGATTTTGGCTAAGAGTTGTCCAGAAATCATACTTAATCTAAATTATACACTCTTCATATAAAGTGAACACCTTGTTCAAAATGCTGTGTTTTTTTTCTTAGTATAAATAATTGAGAGCCAGTGAGTATTGGGTTAACATGTTATTAAAATAATTTTGAACTATTTTGGTTTAGATATTATAGAGAAAGTAATACATTTGCTAATTAAGCATCTTGAAGTGTCATTATCAATGACATTGACAAGAACCTATGATATATCTTGGCCTGTATACCCCAGATATGTGAGAATAAAATATATTTAACATCTTGAAGAGATTCAGGTCTTAGTTCTTAGCAATGACTCATCACCCCCTACCTGCTTCCTATTCTATACACGGAAATGATGAGTCGAGAAATGAGTCATGTTTCCTGTGACCCCCACACTGCCTAACACTCAAAGGCCTTCTTGGGGGCCTCCTACTCTATACAGAGCTTCAGAATGACAACGGCACTTTTTGCAGCATCTCCAAGGTTCTGTGTCCTTGATTTCCTTCCCCATCATCTTCCCCAGCACCCTAAAGAGCTCCTGGGATCTCTTAGAAGGGCTTATTCGCAATGGTGCAAATTCCCGATGACAGCAATTTATGCCTTAACCCACTTTTTGGCCATTTTTCCTGGCCACTTAGGCTAATTATCCAAGTCATCTGTGTACAATAAACAAGGACCTCCTTCCCTCAGCACTCATCCTCCACTTCATCCCCCCCAGCGGGGCAGTCATAATGCGCTCTGGGTAACAATCGCAATTATCTCCATGGCAATAGAGTGCAATGTTATTAGGCCCATGGGACTTGCCATAGATTCGGATGGCAGAGCCACATTCAGCTTTGAACAATCACCCATCCTCAGAGGAAGGTCAGAACCCACCGTAATGCCTGTGATGAGTCACACAGAAATGCACATAGAGGTGTAGGTAGGGATAGGGACATTTTCTTCAATGTAATGGGTAATATCTTTTCACTAATGCCCTTTCTGCTTTTCTTAAAACTTTCTTCACTAGGATCCATTGCCCCCCTTTATATTACACATTTTAATCCACTTTTATAAAAGTTAGTTTAGACTCCCTTTTCACTGATACTACAGCTTTATGTCCTTACACTCTGATTTTTATAGTCTGTAGAACTGTGCTCCCTATACAGCGGCCACAGACACATGGAACTATTGAGCACTGAAAAGGTGTGTGGTCTGAATTGAGGTGTGCTACTAGTGTAAAACACACTCGACTTTCAAGTCTTAGTGTGAAAAAAAGTAAAATGTCTTAACATGCTAAAATGATAATATTTTGGATATGTTGGTTTAAGTTACATAAAAATAAAATTAAAATTAACTACTAATTTCTACCTTTTTAAAATGCAGTTATAAGAAAATTTTTCAAAATTACATATGTAACTCATTATATTTCTACCAGGCACATTGCTGTAGAGTTAAATGGATGATCCCTGTTAAGTTTTTAATCCGAAGAATTGATAGCATGATTAAAATCTTTAAGATTTGAAAAGTGCCTTATGCTTTTTAATATGTGCTTTTATAATATGATGTAACTTACTATGATGAATTATTCCAGGATAATTGGATTTACCGTCATTCCACAATCTTGTAATTTAAGATACCCAGTTTAATTCCCAAATGCTGCATCTATTTCAGGATTGCCTTCTAACAGCCAAAAAGACTAAAAGCAGGGCAATAAGGCAAAAATTCTTGAGTTAATTGAAGTTGTGCATTCCCAGGGGAAGAAAGCAAAGGGGCTGCTTTAAGTGCTTGGTGATTCCCAACCTTCTGACACTCATACACACACCCCCCACCCCATATCAGGCCCACAGAGTTTAAGGGGAATTCCTGGCTAAGGAAAACTGCCAATAATCAGCCTTATTACTAATGCCTCATAGGCAAAGAGAAGTAAGTTCCATACTACAAATCAGCCTGGGAAGCTAATGGGAAGCTTTTATAAAAATATGCTTTGTGGTGAGCAAACCCGGATGAAAGCTGGTTAAGAACAGAGTGATAAATGAAGCTGAATGCAGGAGATGAATGAACAGGTTCGATGTATTAAATCAGCGATTTTCAACCCGTGTGCTGCAATAACTTTTAAAGATGCAGTACCTGACTATTTAGTCAGGGGCACTGACCTCTTTTCCCTTCAAGTGCCAAATAAAAAAAAATGACAACAGCCCACACAACAATAGCCATCTGGTGTGAATCAATAAAAATTATATCTTTTTTTGTCAGATCTGCCAAAAAAATGATTTTTTTTTGGAGTGCCACAGAACTGTAGTCATACGGTTGGTTATGTGTGCCATGAGATGAAAAAGGTTGAAAATCACTGTAGTAAATGAAGGAGGGGCACGAGGAGACACAACAGATTGCACAAAGGACCATGAGGCTCAACCAGACGAAAGAACACGCAGCAGATCCTGGTGACAGGTCAGGCATCTCTTTGCCTGTACGGTTAAGAGTCAGACACCTTCTCAGCCCACCCAGAAAAGGCTGAAAATGTTCACTGCTGCCCTCTGCTGGTTAGAACTAGATTACTTTTCATATAGTAAAGAGCTGTCGGACTCGAGAAGGAAGGCCTGTAAAATTAGATGAATATCTGAAGAGACAGACACTGGATCACCTAGAGAAACAGGCTGAGCATGGTTTGTTGTGCTGCACTGGTGAGCATGCAGTGTCTCACCATGAAATGTGTCTCACAGGAAATAATATCTGTAAGTAACAATCCTACCATTTACTGAGTACTTACTATGTGCATACCAGGCATTTAATGTATACGTCTGATCTATGGATAGTACCTGTTAAGGTAAATTTTATTGCCCCATTTTATAGGTGAGAATGATGTAGCTCAGAGAGGTTATGTGACTCGTCGATTGTTACACAGCTAACCAGAGCTACTATCTGGACCTAAATCCAAGGCTTTTTAATACCAAAGCCGACCACAGGACACCAAGCTCTGCTTAGCAGAGCCTGACATCTCCTGAGTACTCAATAAATGTTAGTTTCCTTCCATCCTCATGGCATTTTGACATCATTTTCCGACCTCCTGCTGTGTTTGCATTAAATAATAAGTCACCATTAGCAACATAAGAAACACTTTGTTAATGGCGACATCCATAAAAGTCTCTGGTTCGTACCTCCCCATGTGTTACAGCATAAATAAAAGTTCCCCTTTCAGCCACACTGGAAGCAAAGACACAAGTCAGGAGAAGCCTGATGTCAGTGCCGAGACAGGTCCTCACAGCAAGTATGTGACTGGGGAGACATCTGCCAACATACATTCCTGGAGCCTGTGGCACATGTCTTCACATACTCAGCCAGCAATGACAGGAGGACGCTGATGGTGGTGCAATGTCGGATGGTGAGTGGGATCGGAAAGGACTGGTCAACTGAGGAAGGGGGCACTGGCAGAGGCAGCAGAGAGGCTGGGTGCTTGCAACAAGGCTGCAGCGTAACAAAAAAGAAGGCCATACCTTCACAGCCGCGCTCGATCTGTCCGCTCCGGTGGAGGGCATCATTGATGAGGTCCGGCAGGCGCCCGTTCAAGTCCACGGATGCCAGACAGCCCTGGAAGCCATCCCGGGAGGCCACGAGCTTTGGGAGGTTGCTGTACATGCCTTGGGCCAGACCTGCCATGTAGAGGTCACCTGGAGAGGAAAGGAGGTAGTAAAAGCAAATGAGTAAAGGACTGGAAACCTCATCAACTAAAGCCAATGTACTTGAGACCATTTATTTAGATAATGGTAACAGAGCTGGGGAAGAAAAACAGCATAAACAAAATAACTGCCAGAGTTTCTACACTGTACAAAGAAGAAAACTAACATTTCTTATGTGTTAGATATACACATAAGAAATTTTATAAACATCATCTCATAAATTTTAATCACCATATGGAGTCTATCAGGTAGGTACTGTTACCATTTTACAGTAAAGATTAACAATGTTTTCAACAAAACCATTTATTGAGTGCATTTTATGTGCCTGTTACCAATAGCATGCTGAGGGTCTTACAGACACTATGCTATCAAACTTCCTAAAAGCCCATAAACTCAGCAATGATTACTATCTTCATCTTGAAAAAAAAAGTGTACAGAGGGTATACCAGGCAAAAAACTTTTTACCAAAATCACCCAGACAGTAAATAATTCAACTAAGATTCCAAAACCTATATTCCTTCCTCTGTGTGAGGTTCTCTCCTCACTTTGGCAATATTTTATCCTCACCTGAAGATACTTTTTATTATTGATTTTGGAGAGAGGAAGGGAGAGAGAGAAAAACACTGATGTGAGAGAGAAACATCAATCAGTTGCTTTCTGTACAAGCCCCAAATGGAGACTTGAAACTGAATCCTAGGTATGTGCCTTGATGAGGATTAGAACCTACAACCTTTTGGTGTGCAAGATGATGCTCCAACTAGCTGAGCCACCCAGCCAAGGCCTCATTTTCACATTTACCATCTCATCCCCCAGTCCCAAGGTACACAGAGAAAATGAACCACACCTTGAGGAGTGGTCAAGTAAAAATGGAATACCTTCATTGCATTATGCTGTAATTCAATGTTGTTAAAGTAGAATGTGCATGATGCATCAACAATGCAGAGTGCTCAAAGCCTATAGTTTGCCTCTGGAAACAGCCTCTCAATTGTAAGAAATGCTCTAGCAAGGATAAACTCCTTTGCAACGTTTACCTTTCAAATCCAGATTTTTGGCACCATTGATAACCTGAGTGACCACCTTAGTGTCCACTTTCAGGCTGTGAGTGTTACTGTTGTCCCGGGTGATGACGACGTTGTGCCACTGGTTGTCATTCAGGGGGCGGTCACTGTTGCCTTTGATCACGTTGGGGCCATTTCCGAGGTCAAATACATAGTGGATGTACCTAGGAGGGAAAACAACCACCCAATGACTCGAGATCCCCTGAAGCCATTTAATGGCAATGTGTGGATAATGACATCTGAGTCTTCCAATCCTGCACACTCCACACTCCACTGGCATCACACAGGATTAATTAAAGCTTGAGTTAGGATACAAGAAGAGGCAGATCCTCTTCTGTCAGACTTCACTTCAGTTTCATACTCCCAGAGTCTACTCCTTTAACACTACCTAGCAAAAGTCAGAGCCAGGGAGTGGTGAAGGTGGTACACTCCCCAACAATAGGGGGCGACACTTGCAATCACAGTCAATCATGGGCCTTTCAGGTTTTGTTTTGGCTTTTGCTTTTTTTTTCTTTTTTGACTATTTTCCAGCACATGGTAGTAAAATGTCTTGAAGATAGAATAGATTTTTCAAATTTACATTTTTGGAGTCATAGTAGTACTAAAAATATCTATACTTCATTTCTTCCTATAAATTTAGTGGTTATAGATAGTACTGCTAACTCAGAGATAGATGCTATGAGCCCCATATTCCTTTTTTTGCAAAAATAAGGGTTTTTTTTCCCATAGTTTTAAAGGCTACATTTCATAGCAAAACATCTGACAGTATTTGATTAACAGACTTTAAATAAACTTAGTCTCTTCCTTCCAGCCCTAATCATTAAATAAATATTTTAAATCCATGAGGATGAGAGCACATACCACAAATAGAGGCTAGAGAGTAAAATGGACACTTCTTTTTACGTCCATATTTTGCTCAAGGCTTGAACTGAGGTATCTACTATAAACTACATGTCCCCTCCCACTTACCCTTTGACTAGCTCAACTGCAATGAAGTCATTGCCATCACCACTATTGAAGAGAATAAAACCATCAGCTGAGGTGGTCTTGAACTGGAAGAAGAGGTGCATGGAGGTGTAGGCCTGCAGGGTGGCCAGGCTCAGGTAGCTGCTCTTGGTCTTGAAGGTGACAGGGTCAGCAATGATGTTCCTCAGCCCAAAACGCGCCTTCAGTTCACAGTAGTCAATGTCGCCATTTTTGCATAAGTCGATGTAGAGCAAGCCGTTAAACATGAGGCTCTGCAAGTGGCCGATGAAACTGGAGGGCACAACGGAGATGTAACGTTTCTCGGTCATGATACCAGTTTCAATGTTGTGGAATTCCAAGCGGGTGTGATCTCCCAGCATTGTACCTGTGAAAATAATAAAGGAGGTGGCAACAAGAAAAGTTGTCATGTTTTGCAATAGCACCTTTATTATATTTTTTTAGATCTGATTTTTCCCCACACAAAATATTCAGTTTTCTTGAGCCAGTTCCAGAAAACAAAATACTATTGTATATATTTGACATGGCCTCAGTAGGGGAGCGAGTTTTTGGCTCAAGTCACATAGCCTGCATCCCATGTTCTTATCCAGCTGCTCAGCTGTCCCATCATATAGGAGAAAGTATGAGGACTTGCGTAACTCAAGTTACCTGATTAAACTATGTTTTCTCCATTCAGAAAAACAACTGGGTATTGCTACACACTATAAGAAGAAAAGACTTTTTTCCCCTTACCCTTGTAAACACACAACAAACAAGCCTTAGGTATTCACTACCAAATGTTTCTTGGTGTAGTAATTCATCACCTAATGACTCAGTACCTAGTAGAGTCATGCACCACATAACGATGTTTTTGGTCAACAGCAGACCACATACACGACAATGGTCCCCTAATATTACAATGGAGCTAAAATTCCTAACGCCTAGTGATATTGTAGCTGTAGCAACTTCGCAGTGAGATGCATTAGTCACGCATACACGGGGGTGCTGTTGTAAGCAGACCTCCTGCGCTGCCAGTCGTGTTCAAGTATAGCACATACTATTACATACAGGACCTAATATTGGATAGTTGATAAGGATAATGAACAACTATGTTACCAGTTTATCTATTTACCATACTAGATTGTTATCATTATTCTGGCACGTACTCTTCCCACTTACAAAACAGAAGTTTGCTGTAAAACAGCAGGCTGAGTTACACTGGCAGCAGCCTCACACCACTTGTGTTTACTGCATGTCTTGACTGCATCGTTTTCTCTTGTGCTGGATTTAATCCCATGTTGTTTTGTGCAGGAGCATGCTGCACAGACCTGGAGCCTAGCAGCAACGGGCTACACCATACAACCTGCGTGTGCAGTAAACTACACCATCCAGGTCTCCGTCAGCACGCTCCTTGACGTTCGAGCAACAAGATCGCCTGAGGACACATCCTTAGACTGGATCCCTGTTGTTAAAAGGGCATGACTGTACTTTTGGAGAAAGTTAATTTTATTTTCCCAGTAACTGTTGCTTGTTCTGATAATAACACTTGATTTCCTTTTAGGAGGCTACCCTCCCCACTTCACTCTTAAACCATCTGGGCTGGATGAAGCTGACCTCATTCTAGCTCCCGAAGTAATCAAGCCACTTAGACTGAACCACTCAACCTATTTTCCCCCCCAGCCTTAGAGTAAAACCTAAGGACTAAGAAGCAGTCTTTAAACTCTAGCTTGCATCTGAATCATGTGGAGGGATTATTAAAACAAGTTAATTGGCACCCCTCCCCCACCCCTAGAATTTCTGTTTCAAAAGTCTGGGGGAGGCCTGAGAATTTGCATTTCTACCAAGTTCCGAGTTGAGGCTTATGTGGCTGTTCTAGAAACCACTCTCAGAACCACTGCACTGGCAACAACCCCAGCTAATCCAGTGGTGTTCAGTGGCAGGGGTTTTGCTGGAACATGTATGGAGGAGGTGTCTTTGCAAAGAAGGCTTGCTGAAGGGGTGACAAGAAAGCCTCGGGAGGCCGTGTGGTAACCAGAGGGATGGGGCCCACCCGAGGAGACGGGGGACCCAGAAAACAGCCATGGCATGGGGAAACACAGTTTCTCTAGGGCGATGTCCTGTGAAGATCGGGGTCCAGCCAGCCACCTCTGGACTTGAATTAAACGTTGTGCTGGAAGCATCTGAGTTGAGCTTCTGACATTCGTAACTGAGAGACCTCCAGCTGACACAAACTATTAGACCCTTCCTCACCTGGTTTACCCAAAAGTGCTGAGACACTGAAGCAGGGATAATGAGGCAGGCTTGAAAAAGATACAAAGAGACTGGACATTTTAGCCATAAAGTCAGTGAAAACATCTCTAGTATGGCCAGAGTAGACAGTGGCTCCCTCAGCATTCATACACAGATGAGTCCTTACAATTTAACCAGTCACGTCCTCAGGTCCCAGCGTTTTAAAGGGAAGGGAAGGGGAATTCCCTCTGCCTGCCCTACCCCATTATCTTTCACATGAAAGCAACTCCACCAGTAAGACACTCCTGGCATCTCCTTACCCCTCCCCCCACCTTTTACAACTTCCCTGAGGAAAAGGAGTGACATAATCTGAAAGATTAAAGATAATCTGCAAAGAAAAACTTTCTATAGCCCAGACCCTGGCACTTCCTGTTTCCCTTTAGGGGAGCAAGCTGCCCTCAGGAAATACCCCATCTCCCCCACTCACCCACAGCCCGGGTGCTAGAGGAGCAAGCCCCCCTCCAGTGGAGGACACCTGCCCCAGTCCTGACTTAGGGCTCCAGTGGGCAATTCCAACCAATTCTGAGGTTCAGTGGATGCTGGCCACATTTTTAAATATCAGTGTTATCATTCATAAAACTCATGTTTGATTTCTACCTGCCTTACGTTTTCTCCTCTATTGGCGTAGAGCGCAGGTGGCAACAAAGAGGGAGCTATATTTTCTTGGGTCCCTTTAACTTCAATATTTGGGAGGTTCAAGCAGATCACACTCTCAGATGCTCAATATTAATTTCATCTGTGTGGGGGCACGCTCAAGACCTAATTCAAACAATCCCTCATATGCACGAAAATCAGATTTGAATTTTATGAGCGTCTGTGTGGTATTTTGACAACTAGTTATAAATCATTCTCTTAATATAAGCAAAAATAAAATAATGATGTTGGTTAACTAAATATAAAATTCTAATAGACCAAAAATCAAAATGCAACATAAATCTGCTAACAATTGAATAACTAGGAGAAAGAATTACCGTATAAAATTGCACAGTATTGAAAACTGGACAGGTCATGAAAATGCAAAGTAGCCTCACGTAAATTCCTATGCTCTAAAACAACGACATACTGGGAATAAATATCCAGGGTCAGTTTGGCTATCACTGTCCATATCAGGGCTGGGGGCAGGAGCTGGAGAATGACGGGGAAGGGAAATCGTAGCGTATCTCCAGGCAGACACAGGAGCTGATCCATGATGATGCTGGTAGTCACTCTAAGTTTTGTTTTACAACAAACAAAACAGCAGTGCGGGCCAAGAAGTAATAATGGGGTGATCACTGAAACTTGGGGCTCCAAAAGGAACCTGCAGAGTGCATCTTCAAGTCAGCTGGGAGCTTTTAGAGAAAGTACAGATGAACTGACCTCCAGAATTGAGGGGTTAGGAAATTCTGCTCACAAGAATATAAATTTCATAAAGCCAGAAAATCATGTAAGAAGGTCATGTAAAATCACATTAAAATCATATAAGATTGAAACAGAAGGGAGATTGGAGAAGGCCTTGGATAAAGAGCAGAAAGGAAACTAAATGGAATGTGAATACTTAGCCCAGGGACGACTAGCCCAGGGACAGGCTAATTTAGGGTTCAGGACAACAGAGAGCAGCTTCCACCAAAAACTGGTGAACGGTGAACGGTGGGGAGAAGGCTATGTGGAACCAAATTAGAAGAGAAATGGACTTCTCCATATGCTAAAAAAACTCACTTTGCTTTGGATGTAGGCTCCCAAAAATGTATGTCCCGGGTGCTTTTTCACCCAGAGAAAGCACTGAAGAGATTCTTTCAAGTTTCATATGTGTACCAAACTAAGCATTAAATATTTTCAAAACTCTGTATTGGTCCTGACCAGTGTGGCTCGGTTGGTTGGGAGTCATCCTGCAGAAAGGTCTCCGGGTTGCTTACCCAGTCAGGGCACATGCCTGGGTTGCAGATTTGGTCCCTGGTTGGGGTGCATGCAAGAAGCAACCAGTTGATGTTTCTCTCTCACATCAATGTTTCTCTCCCTCTTTTTCTCCCTCCCTTCCTCTGCCTCTAAAAAAATAAATAAAATCTTTTAAAAAAATCTGTATATTACCTAATCAGTATTAATACCAGGAACCTTTGCATTTATCTTCTCTGAATTCCGTCTGTAGACCAAAACCCTTCCATTGAAGGGTGCAACATGGACATACTTCACAGCAGCTGCTCTTAGATTGCAGAGGAAATAGGAGTAACTGGGGAGAAAGATAACAAGCGAAAACCAAGACTACCGAATATTCCCTAGCTGGGCACTGTTCTAGGCACTTTGTCACCACCATCAACGTCAAGATGAAGACAAAACTGCCGGGAGGTAGCACAGTCTAGCTTTAGAGGTGTGGGCACTTAGAGAGGCCAAGCAATGTGATCCAAGTTCACACAGGTGGTAAATAGTATAGCCCCCAATTGAACTCTGGTGTATTTAATTCCAAAGTTTTGTCTTAACTTGTGTACTATCCTCTCTTTGGAGAAAAGGTTTGACTGGTTCCTTATATTGTTGCCCAAGAAAAGCTGTAGGTGGAGTTGAACTGGTAAAAAGTCTATACAGAAGCTGCTGTGATGAGTTCGCACTTCTCAGTGGCCAAGAATCATGTCATTCCATCTAACTCACAGGTAATATATCCAGCACCTCCCCTAGAACCACGAGGTTGCCTGGGCCCCTTTGCAAACCGTCACTGTCGTGTTTCACTGATGGCCAATGAGCGGTTTATAGACCAGCCCTCAGAATGATGCAATTTGTTGAGAACATAAGCCATAGGAAACCGGGCCAAGTTCCAGCTGAAACTCCCCATGAGACATTAACCTACAGTGGATGAGCATGTAGGCTCTGAGGCTAGACTGTCTGGGTTAGCTCATTCTTCCGTGCCTCAGTTTCCCCTCTGCCTAATAGGTGTAACGTTGTCAGGATCGAATGTGTCAGTATGTGGACGGTGCTGAGAACAGGGCCTAGTGCTCACACTGTGAACTATTACTAACTACGCAGCATTCATTCTGTCCTTTCTCTGACATATGTGAATTTTCTGGTTCTTTCACTTCCTGTTTTCTCTCTTTCATTAGAGCACAAGATCTCTCTGAGCAGGGATCACTGCCCGCCTCCTCAGGATGCCCTATAGCAGGAGGCCCTACACGCAGCAAGCAGCCCTGACACCTGGGAAGGGGGTTGCTTCCAGACATCTGCTCTGAAGTCCAAGTTTGGACCATCACCATTTCTGCACATAAGATTCCTAGCCAACACCAAGTGCTTAGCAAAGAAATAATAGAAATGGCTATGTGGAGGCAACTTAGCCTCCCAGTGGCTCTCAGACACGGAGAGAGAAGTTCAGAAAAGTGTCTGAAGTCTCAGTAAAGGATGCACAGTTTGCCCACAATCCCCCAGCTCCACTGCTCCCACACCCTTTTCTCCACAACACCAGCATTTTCTGTATGTGTGTACTGTCAAATGCTTTAATAAAAAACAAGTTCAGGGACCAAATACATTGGCAAACACCACATACTTAATTATTGATGGCTGGCGATGTGCATTAGCAGAGTAAAGGCTCCTAAGAAGTCTTATAATAAAGAAATCCACTTCGTGCTGTGTAACCTGGCATTTTCTAAACCTATCTTGCATATTTTGTTAGCGTGAGGAGCAAGTCTTCCATGGAAAACTTGGACAATGACTCCTCACAGCTGGGCCATGTGGGGTGAGGGAGGAAGACCGAGAAGTCCTCCTGGCCTGGAGCAGGCAGCAAGGGTGAATTTTTGCACCAGCAAGAAGCTCTGGGTGGTGTGGGTGGCTCATGTGGCATTAGACCCCAGTCCTGGGAAGCATAACCCAAGAGAGGCATTCTCTTTATTTATTCTTGATAATAGAATCCCAGCTCAATCAATCAATCAATATTTATTAACTGCCAGCTGAACTTAATGCATTTCCAGGAATACATTATATTATAATAAATAAAAGCCACCAGGCTGAGGAATATTTATTTGATTGCTTTTGATTTCTTATGAGTCTGAACTATTCTTTGTATCATTTCTACAAACTAGCTGAAAATTTGACACCCTGGAGGACCTTAAACGGCATGAAAGGGATTACTAAATAAGCCAATAAGACACTACTTAATAATGTGAGGACTGAGTGGTATTTTCATTTCATTGCCTGATTTTATGACTTCTGTGAGCTAAAATTAAAATTCCCAAATCCCTTATCACTGTAAAAAAGCAATCCAAGGCTATAGCTCATAAGCAAAATGGCTCTTTTCTTCTCCCAAATTTCTTTATCCTCACGGCTGTTTTTTCCATCAACAGCAAAGCAGGGGGTAAGGTGGAAAATGAAAGAGCTTCATTAATTCCAAACATCAAATTATTGGGTGGCTTGGACATGCCATGGTTTAGTTTTGCCTTCAAATTATTACTGGAAAGAGAAAGCACACTTTATAATTACCTTTACTCTAAAGTTCCTGTAAAAGTTTAATAACTGAGGGAGGTAATACCAATTATTGTACCATAGTTTTGCAGCTCCTCATGACTGTAGCTTTTGTGGCATGTAATTTATTTATTTTCTTTTTTAAATATACTTTATTAATTATGCTATTACAGTTGTCCCATTCCCCCCCCTTCATTCCCCTCTACCCTGCACACCCCCTCCCACCCATATCCCCCCCTTTAGTTCATGTCCATGTGTCATAAGTTCTTTAGCTTCTACATTTCCTATACTATTCTTGCCCTCCCCCGTCTGTTTTCTCCCTACCATCTATGCTACTTATTCTATGTACCCCTCTCTCCTCCTCCCACTCCATCAGGGCGTGTAATTTCTTATGGAAAGAAAAGGGAAGCACTGTTAACAGGGAGTGACTGGGCTGAGGTTGCCATCTAGTGGCTACTATTCAAAACACACTGTAAATAGCATTACTTTGGGTTTTCCTGGGCTATTTCCAGAGCTAGCCAGGCTCCTGAGACTGAGCTGCCTCTGCAGGCTTCTGTCTGTGCTAACACCTCATGGGCTGTTCTTGAATAATTAACTAAGGTTGGCTGTGAGTTCTAAACCACCAACCATTTTTACATCTCTTTGCCTACATTCATTATATAAGGCTAAATCACCCTTTAGGCCTACAGGACAGTAACCTTACCTCCCACTGCGAAGTTAGGTCTATGGACATTTGGAAGGTTTGGGACAGTTGTTGTGGCTCTGTCTTCATCTCCAGGGGAAGGAGAGTGGGAGTTGTAGTCTACCAACTGCATTGAATTCCCCACCTCACCCACATCCATCCCGTAATGTAACCCCTACTTTGTAAGACAAATCATTTTCTTACGATGGATTACCAAGTCCAGCAGGCAGCTAGATTGGAGGAAATCACACAGACGTGAACTGCGAGCTTCACTGCGTAGCTCCCTCTAAGTTTCCTGTTCCCCTTATGCAAAATGACAATAAGAACATAACCTTGGAAGGCAACTCACAGAATTACAGATTAGAAGGGCTGATGTGTGTAAGAGAGCTAACGTCATCTCCAGTGACTGCTGGGCCCTGGAAATATGCCTCACGCTCTTCCTCCACCCAGAGACTCTCCTTCTCTACACACACACACCACTACACACAAACACGACTTGTGGCTACAATTACTGACTCCAGAAGACAAAAAATAAAAGCTCAAACTTGTTCATATAAAATTATAGGACCAATAAGGCAGAAATTTATATGGAAAGGGGTCTTAGCAGTAATAGTTTTTCCAGGTTAACATTGGAGAAGTGAGTAAAAAGCAGATTAGTGTATCTATCCCAAAGGCACAAAGCATTCTAGTGACAATGACTGTGTTAAATCCCAGGGCTCCTGACTCCAATCTGGCTGTCCTATTCACAGAAATGGAATAGGCCATGGACTTGATCTGACAAAGCCCAGAAATGAGGAGGTGACTTTCCCATATCCTGTGGAGAATTAACATCAAAGCCCAGGTCTCCTGATGCCAGCAGTGTTCCATGCAACACCCCCTGCGACCCCAGTTTTCTCTGCTCGTATGGACAAGAATCCTGGATAACAGATGTACACTGCTGTGAAACAGGAGAGAGTGTAGATTGGTTAAGAGGCACTGAAGGACACCTCTCTTTTCCCTAGACCTCATTAATTACACTCACCCTTCAGATTCTGTGCGGAGATCTGCCTTCATAGCAGAGATTACTCCTGCTATCTCCAGCCCCAACCGGTAACTTTCTCTTCTGATTGACAATTATAATCTTACCCACCCAAATTAGGAGCTCATCACATTCCTTGTCTTATTTTCAAATACCACAGTCCTATCTAGTCTGCTAGATTAGTTCATTGAGGAAACTGGCAATATCTTGTCTTGCTTGTTATATTTTACAATCTTTAGCACACTGCTGACTTAGAGCAGCCTCTCAAGAAATACATACTGTTCATGTGAGGCTCTGAAGGTCCCTTACATATGTGTGGATTCATTCATTATGAAGTCATTATCTCACAATGAATGAATTTTACATTCACCACCCTCCTAGAATGTAAATTCCACCAGGCCAAAGACTTATCCTTGTTTTGTTCACCACCATATTCTCAGTGCCTTCTAAAGTAGTGCTTGGTCCGGAGCAGGTTCTCAATCAATAATGGCTAGACAAATGACTAATTATTCAGCACCTTGTAAGCAGCATGCACTGATCAAAGCACTTACTTTACTTTTACCTAGTAATTTCTGAATTTCTGGTTTATCCATCTTCTTCAACTAGGGAGTGCCTCATGCACTGAGGGAAGGAACTAGTGTTTGGGAGGGTGACTGATATGTGTTTTTTGAATAATTGGATCATAGAAGCATCTGTTGAAGCCTACATCTGTTTTCCAGGCACAAACTCTAATCCTAAGGAAAAAGACCCATCGATATATAATTACAGTCATCGGTCAGTGCTTTAATACAGATCAATGAAAAGGGATTTTGAAAACATAGAGGAAGACCTGCTTAGCCTTGCCTAAGCATGTGACAGAGACCATGACCTGTGATTTCTGTTCAGCAAAATAAAAGGTTTTGTAAAAGCCCTCTGAGCACTGAGGGACTGAGGGGACTCTGCCAGCCATGAGGAGCTCCCCTTGAGCTGTACTCACCCTCGGCCACATCGTCGTCCACTGTTAACTTAAGGCTCTTTCCTCTCCGCACCACTCGCACAGTGTGCCACTCATTGTCGTTGAGCTTCTGCCCCGCATACAGGGTCTCAGGTCCTTTGCCTATGGGTGGTGGTAAGTGCCAAAATTAGAATCACTCTACAAGCGGTGCTCCTGGCATCAGAGTTGTCAAAGCCACACTGGTGCACATGACCTTGTAGCAGGTCAGGAATCCCACCCCCACCCGACACCCACCCAGCTTCACTGACCCAAATGCAAAAGTATCACTCAAATGTAAAGGACAGTGGCAAAGTTGTGAAAGAAATAAGTGTCCTCCCTTAGCTCTAAATACAAGGATTTAAGTACCAGCGGCAGTAAGCGATCATTGACAGGAAACAGGAGTCAGCTGTTATTTTGTTTCCCAAAGTCTTAGATTTTAGATGAATTTCTTGCAGATACAGAAATTCACCACACATTTAAAAGATCATTTGGTTATTTAGGCATAATACACCAGTCTGGCTTTTGGAGAGTATGCACCCATTGGATAAGTAAAGAGCTCTGTAATATATGCTCTTAACTTGACATTTCTTATCAGTGACCATATAAATCACAGTAGTAATCATCATCATCATCATCATCATCATCATCACAATAAAAATAATAATAGCAAGGTCTAAAACCCATAATAAACAATGCTCCTGAAGGGAATGTGAGGTGCCCTGAATTATCTCACTGTTCATCATACTCAAAAAAAGATCCAAAGACTTAAAAAGTTGAATAATATAAAATTCCAAAATTGAATATGTTTAGGTCAAAATAATGATCAGTGCCACCAAATAAAGGAATAAATCACATTATTTCAAAAGATCAATGCCCAAGATGCTTGAGATGATGTTCAAGTGCACCCTAGAAAGAATTAGGTGCAATAAGGAATTATGGTATTTAGGGGCAAATCTGGCAAGACAGAAACTGAAGCATTAAAACAACGTGGCTAGTGGATGAGGAAAAGAATGTCATGTTTCACTCACCAGTGAAATGAGATGTAAATTTAAAAGACAAGAAAGACTGCATAGAAGTAGAGAACTTAGATCAAGTTTGTTTTCTCTACATGGATGGCTGAGCCCAGGCAGAAAGAAGCTGCTTAAATCTTCTTGGATTAGTCAATCAACATATAAAAATCCCTGTCTCTGGAAATAACTTTTTAAAAAGATGAACTATTTAACTGACCAATAGACCCCTATGTCTATTATGCATTTGAAATATTGCAGAAGACTACGCACTTGGCTCCAACAGGTAGAAGCACAGGGCCAGGTACACAGTAGGTGCTTTAATGAGTTCTCATTGAATAACTGATGTCTACATAGGTCTTTATTTCTTTGGAAACCATCAAATAAGGTCAATATATATTTATATGGGGCGCGGGAGACAAAAGTAGGCTTACAGTAGTGAGCACACAAAACACAGTTTATTATTATATTAGTTATTAATTATTGTATTATTTATACAACTATAAGCCTACTTTTGCCCCACTCCCATATAGCTTTTACAAGTCATTCCCCTTGCTCCTCTGTTCCCCAAACTGAAGATATTATATACTGTGTAGGGAAGGAGATAAAAAAAAACAGTATGCTTGGGTAGAAATATTGTAAACTAGGTAATTTTAAATTGTACCTTTTAATTTTGAGTAATTAGTATTTCTATTAAGTGTAGGGTATAAAAGCTATAATAACAGTTGAAGTTTCAAGGAATTTTCTTCTTGAAAAATAAACAGATTTTCAAAATGGAAAGGTTTCTTTTTATTGCAATGTTTTCAGCAGGTGATTTGTACTTAAATTTTTCCAGAATGTACCTATACTCAAAGTGCAAGCCAAGTTCACAAGAATCCTGAGAATTCAGAGAAGAAACTTGGAGTGAAACAAATGTACCCCAAGTTGGGTAATAGTGCTATGAGATCAATGAATCACGCTATTCATTGGAAAAATAGTTCTATACTAAGCCGTTTTATATTCAATCTTAGCTTCTGTTTGGGAGTAGGCCTGTTTTTTATATTATCTGTGTATATGAGAACAGGGTTTTGTCTACATTTCAACCAACTAGGTAGCACTGCCCACCGTCGCCTTGAATCCAGGTGTAAGAGGCATGTAGCAGTCGCTTTTACGAAAGCCAGTGCGTGGGCACTGGGGGAACATGGACCACACCACGTGGGCACTTCAAAGCAAGAACAGATGTTCTCAGAAGAAACAAATCTGCCTTTGTTTTTTTATGTTTTTATCCTCTTTATTCCACATGCAAATGTTTCAATAAGATAGAAGAAAGTAAAGAAAGATGTGGAAAATATTGGCTATGGAGGCAGAACTGTTACAAATGCAGGCTCTCCTATAGATGGCCATCTGTTCTGTAGGCAGTTTTTGCACATCACTTAATGTTTACGATTGGAGACAAGATGGGAGGGAGGAATACTAACAAACACAGTCAGTTCAGGGTACTGCTGCATTAGTAGCACAGCAGCCACCGAGGTGTGAAGCAAGCTTCACTCAGAGTGGTAGGTTTGAAATGCTGCTGACATTTTGCAGGCACCTCAGCCCCTCTTGGCATTCTTGAAATGGTCATTACAGTCAGATTCAAACAAAAATACTTGACTGCTCGTTTGACTCTACAACTTTAGGATGTGAAAAGCAGCTGGAACCTCTCCTAACCTACTGCCTGGTTACATTAGATATTTCCAACACCAACATTCTTACTGTAAGAGTAGGAAAGAAAGGTTCATAGCCATCTCGTTAAAATGTCAGGGAAATGAGTATTATTCAATACTAATTTTCAAGCAATAAATACAGAAATATCAGTGAGGTTCTGGAAAACTTTGGCCACTTATCTTTAGTGGAGCCAAAAACGTCAATTCATCCCACAAGAAGGAAAGTGATGTTTAAACTTAGCTGGAAATGCAGGCAAATTGAGGGGAAGAGCAAATCTGTTATGTAGCCCAAGCACAAAACTAGACTGATAAAGTGATGTGTGAGCAGACCCAAGTTGCACAGTGAAATATACAAACCATTGGGTTTTAAAAGCAGGAAGATCTAGTCCAGGGAAAGAATTTCCTGGCAGATTCAAGCACAAAGCTAGGGAAGCAGCATCAATAAAACAAAGAATAAAAAAGTTCTTCCTTGTGAGTCAAGCATGGTCCAGACAAGAAGGAGAAACAGCTTAAGTTGGAATTTCAAAGGGAACTGGTGGGAACTCAAAGCAACAACAGCAAATTGTCCTGCATTGCCCCTTTCCTTTTAGTAGCTCGAAGAAGCATGATCTGCAATTAGAAGCATGATCTGCGTATTGGATGCATGCAACAGATGCTTGTTCCCTCCTTTTATAGTTTAAGTAGTAAACATTGATCACAAAAAACCCTTTGATTCTCCTTCAGGCTGCTTAGATCCTCACTGTTTGATCTAAATACAGAAAACTAGTAAGTTATCTGACACCTTGTAGGTGAATTTCCCAGATAATAACACCCGTGACTGCAGTAAAGGAGCAAAATCACAGTGGAAGGTTCCCAGGATGCAGAAGTCTGTAGGAGTGTTGAGTTGTTCATTTACTGGAGAGCAAAGAGCCTTCCATGGATCCTTTGGGGAACGCCAACCAAATGCCCACTATTGGTCTAGTCTCCCTGCAAACTCACTTATCAACATCTCTTTTACTTAAGGTCTGAACTTAAGGTCTAGCTCACAGATGAAGAGGGAATAGAGGATGAGGTATCCTGTCTTCTTAACCTATCCCACAGTAGTCCTACAAAGACCTATTTCTTCAAGAAGTCAGAACTAATCATAAAATCTAAATGAAAAATTAGGGAAGAAAGCACTCTTTGAGGGAGAAATCATTGTTGATTGCTTGGAGGAAGAGCACACTCAGACATTAGCAGGTTGTTCTCTGTTACATCAGAGAGGGGTTGGGAGTGTGTGGGGAAAATCTATATTTGAGCACCATTAAAGGTGCACGCCTTTACAAGGTGGACTTTGGATTTCAATCATTTTAAACCTGTTTTTTAGCAGACTGTTCATGTTATATGAATTTGTTATTCCCCCCAGGAGCAATATAACCAGCAAAACTATAAGATACCCCCAATATATATGTTTGTCAATATATTCCAAAGACCTGACCAAGGCAACTAACCTAGATGGTTTTGCTCATATACAGGAAGTAGAAATTCCTTCCATATGCCACAAAATGCTGTTTCCAAAAGTGGGGGTGTAACATTTGGAAACTTTTTTTGCTTGGGATACAGGGGGACAGGAAAGAAGGGGGCAATACCTGTATTACACGACTCTGCTTTACCTGAATATTTTTCTACTGGTGAAAGAAGAAAAAAGGAACAATAACTTGATTTCCTTTCAAACTATGTATTTCACATGAATCAAAATTTCTACAATGCATAAAAGAATATGAAATTTTCTCTCTTAGAAAGGTACAGTGATTATACATCTAAATGATATGGTAAATAAATACAGCAAATGTCTGTGATAGGTTTAAAAAAACACCAAAATTATTTAAAAAGAGAAACTTACCTTCATTTTCACCAGCACCTTAGGTTAGGCTAGCTGGGCTGCAATGAACATTTGACTAAGGCTATAGCCTTTTTTATTTTATCATTCGTCCTACCCAAAAAGAAGAGGTTAGGCAAGTAAAAGTAGGTATGAAGAGGAAAAATAATGGGACCAAAGAATAAGGAGGATGACAGGGAAATAGGAAAGAAGCATTTTATTTTCTGTCCAAAATACTTCAGGTTCTGATTTTCTTTGGGTTGACAATTCAACAGAGAGGTAGAGGTATTTTGTTTTGTTTTGTTTTTGTAAACATTTTTCCAAAAACATCCATTTTCTTTGAAAAACTTTTAAATCATATTTACTTAAAAAACCACTTTGACAAAACATTTCAAAAAAATCATTTCATTCTCACTGGAGTTCTCAAGTCTCAAGAAGTGCTGTCATACTTCTGACAATGGATGTGAAATGCACAGGAAGCTTTCTAGAAGCCTTCTATTAGAAAGCCTCCCACTGAGGTGTGTGAGAAAGACAGGTGACCGTTACTCAACCTGAGCAAATGTACTCTACTGGGGACCCCACTGAAAACACCAC